AATAATCACATGTGGCCTACTCCCCAATCTTTGGGTGCGTTCAGACGGGGGCTTTGTACCGGTTAGGGTGCCGGTTGCAATCGTTGTACTCACTGGCGTTCAGACGGGGCACATCTGCCTCCTCTCCCTAACCGGTGTAAAGCCCTCTACACTGTTGCACTCTGCCACTAGGTCCCAAGTGGTGGTATACTGAGTGCAACGGTGGCTTCTGGTTTATCCCGGCGTCTGATCGCTCTCCAACGTTGCAGAGAGACACTTCCGTCGGAAGCCTGAGGCTTCCGGCTTTCCCCCGCCATTTTTTTTTTAAAAAGGAAGTGATATGCGCTCGGGCAAAGCTTCGCCCTGAGCGTTTTTTTTTTTTTTAAAGCCCTTAGTTTAACTTTCCGGAGGAGTCAGGGACTACAGGGAGGCCAGGTTGGGCTTTAAACTTTAAAGGTTAAGTGCTTACCTTTAAAGTTTAAATGTAATGGGGGCGGTTTTGAGCATGCACAAAGATCGCCATTCTCTGAATGGCTGCCTATGCGCATGCTCAAACTGTGCTTAAAAAAAAAAAAAAAACCGCTGACGCCTGCAGCGTGTGAGCGGGCGTCCAACGGAGGGATCCGGAAGATGGAGGTAAGTGTGATCGCGTTTATGCCGGCAGAAACTGCACCGGTTCCAACAGGTGCAGTTTATGCTGGCAGAAACGCCCTGTCTGAATGCACCCATTGAGTAATCACACACATGGACTGCCCACAGTGGTACCTTGGAGATCAGTTTGGTTTTAGGAAACTGAGCTTTCAATTCTCAAAGTTTGTCTGTTCAAACAAAATTTGAATATGAAGAGGAAAGAAGTCAGGATGCAAAGCTGCAATGTGCTTTCTTAAGCAGCTTGTTTGGGACATGGGTGTGGAACATTAGCAACTATGGTAAAATTAGAATCCCTTAAACCCTGATAGATCCATCCTTGTGAACTTGTGAATGAATTCAAATACAGCAATCTTAGGTCCTTATCAGTAATAGATGCTTCTCTAAGGAGTGTTAATCCTCATTCGGGGGGGGGGGACTTCCTTATTCAAATCTCCTTTGAAATGCAGGCCTCGGGGAAGCCCTGCGAAGTGAAGCTCCTGGCATCAGAACAAGTGTCTGCCTGTGTGCTTGTCCCACCAAAATATTTGGACCACCCCAAATGACACATTCCCACGCTCTGGAGACGGTGCCCTGCAAGGTGACATACAGTGATGCCCAGTCCAAACAGGTTCTGATGCCACGAGCTTCTGTTTGCAAGGCTTCCCCGAGGACTGTTTTTCAAAATATTTTTCTTGGGGGACAGTCTGGCCCCAGTGTCTCTCTGTGTGTGTGTCCTGGGGGCACTGCACTTTGGAGTTACTAGCACAGGATCTGCACTTTGGACCAGCTCACAGAATATGTCCCCTTGAAGGGGAGGCTCCGCTGAAGACGGGGTTGTATGAAATGTGGAGGTCCAAACCTTCTTATTTTTTAATATTATTATTATTATTATTGGGGATGTGTCATTTGAGGTGGTCCAAATATTGTTTTTGAGGCATTTCCTTATTTTGGGTGCAGGGGGCATTTCCTTATTCAAATATCCTTTGAAATGCAGGCCTCAGGGAAGCCCTGCGAACAGAAGCTTGTGGCATCAGAACCGGTGTTTGGACCGGGCATCACTGTATGTCACCTTGCAGGGCACAGTCCCCAGAGCGTGGGGATGTGTCATTTGGGGTGGTCCAAATATTGTTTTGGGGGGCAGTCTGGCCCCAGTGTCTGCCTGTCTGTGTGTCCTGGGGGCACCATACTTTGGAGCAACTGGTACCGGAACCGTGCTTTGGACCAGCATACAGAATGTGTCCCATCGAAGTGGAGGGTCCAAAGTGTGGGGGTCCAGACCTTATTTTGGGTGCAGGGGGCATTTCCTTTTTCAAATATCCTTTGAAATGCAGGCCTCGGGGAAGCCCTGCGAACAGAAGCTTGTGGCATCAGAACCGGTGTTTGGACCGGGCATCACTGTATGTCACCTTGCAGGGCACAGTCCCCAGAGCGTGGGGATGTGTCATTTGGGGTGTTCCAAATATTGTTTTTGGGGGGAGTCTGGCCCCAGTTTCTGCCTGTCTGTGTGTCCTGGGGGCACCACACTTTGGAGCAGCTGGCTCCAGAACCGCGCTTTGGACCAGCACACTGAATGTGTTCCGTCTAAGGGGAAGGTCCGATGAAGATGGGGGTGTATGAAGTGTGGGGGTCCAAACCTTATTTTGGGTGCAGGGGGCACTTCCTTTTTAAAATCTCCTTTGAAATGCAGGAGGACAAAGAGCTGTGCTCTGCATAATACAATAAGCAGTGATCCAGCCTTCCTGCTGCCCATCAAGATAACGCAGCAGTCAAGCATCCAGTCGAGTGCTGGAAAGCTCTGAACCCCAAAATAAGGTCTGGACCACTTTTGGGGTGCAGCCTGGCCCCAGTGTCTGCTTGTGTGATTGTCCTAGGGGCACTGCACTTTGGAGCAGCTGGCACCAGAACCTAGCTTTGGACCAGGATACAGCATATGTCCCCTCGAAGGGGAGAGTCCTGTGAGTGTGGGGGTATATTATATGTCGTGGTCCAGACCTTATTTTGGGGTTCAGAGCTTTCCAACTCCCTCTCCTTAGTGTTTCTGAATGACTACATGAATAAGTAACGAATAAGGAATGAATAAGGAAGTGCGAATAAGGAACCAACTTCAGCCTCCTACTGGCAGTGGCTCTCCACGGTCTCAGGCTCAGGTCTCTTACATCATCTGCTGGCCATTCCTTTCAATGGGAGATGCTGGGGATTGAATCTGTGACCTTCTGCATGCCAAGCAGAGGCTCTTCCACTGACACTGAGTCCCCTTTTTCTGCAGTGTTGTTAGAGAATGAACTTAATATTTTGCTTTATGGACTATATTCATTGCTACACACAATGGACTGTGCACACACACACATAGGCTCATAGAACTGTACACTTTAAGTCACCTGTTGTGATGCAACACATAGAAGGTGCCTGCACAAGCCTTATACGTGAATGAGGTTTAAGCTACACAGTTACCAGCCTGGTGAAGAAGCACACACCTCCATTATTGTGAGCAGTCTACCCTTCCCTTTTTTTTTCTTTTAAGCGAAATACCTCCCCTTTTTAGGGGAGCTAATAAAATCTTTACAAAAAAAAAAGAAAAAGAAACAACAACTTGAGCAGAGACCGTCCCCATTGCTGAATCATTTGTGGTCACGTACGACACATCACTGCTTTGTTCCTGCTTTGGTATTTCCTGCCAAATGGACATTTGGTTCACAAAGAGAATGGCCAGCATCATCTACACTACAATGGAGCATCCTGACGCCAAGGTTTTCACACCAGCCCAGATGCCCTTCTTTGAGTAAGGTTTTAGATTACAATATTGGCCACTCCTTATAGGTAACCTCCCACTCCTATAGGCAACCAATAGGATTGTTTTTGGGATGGACTAACAGGTAGGTGGGTCCACAGGTTAGAAGAGTTACCTCCCACCTAATGGATCCACTATAAAAGGTAAGGACCATTCACCTGGCCCTCCCTAGCTGTCAGAACCCACACCTTACAACGAAGCAGACGCATTCAGGAACTGTTATACGTTTATTGCAAAGCTATAGATGCAGTAACACAGGCACTGTTAAGAATGGCGGCAACCCATTGAGCATAATAGGATATAGGGCATTCGTATGCACCCCCCCCCATGGCATGGGCCAATTAGCTACCCTCCCGCGCGCGGGACCAGCTAGGAAACCGTTAGGTGGCGAAAGCTGGGAAGCAGTAGTCTCTCAAGGTGCATAGGAGACTTCCAGACAATACAACTTCCAACAAAACATTCTCCTGCACATCTGTAGAGATAAGTGTTGCGGCACAGGCAGAACAGCAGGGACAGGAATGCAATAGCAATTACCAAGACACAGAGTGAACTCCTCAACCCCCATGGCAGCATAGCTGACAGTAGCTAGCAACCCCCACAACAACCCCTGTTTGCTTTATACTCCCCTTGAGACCCACTTGCTATCCCCAAACCCTTGCCTCTACTTTGATCTCTTGATCTGCAGTCAAGAGACCAACAAGTTCTGACTGGTTCTAGTCGTGTGTGAATTCCCTTAGATTTCTATTTCTTCCCATCCATTCTTCATTGGAACAACCAAGCTGTGAAGACAGATAAGTATTGCCCATCATCACCCCCACCTGCTAATGCAACCGTGCTTATTTTAATACTGTATTTTTAAGGAACTTGATTGAATGTGTGAGTGCATCGGTATTGTTTGTATGTGATATATTTTTTAAAGTAAAATACATTTATTTTAACCACAACAGCCTCGAACTCCTTTACTAGTAACCCTCGGTGGGAACAGGACCTTGGTATAGTTGGCAAGGACCCATTTATAAATTGCCAATTGCTGTAAATAAAGCAATTCGGCTAACAGTGTGCCTGCTTTCCGGCTGTACAATGCTCAGTGAATTGTGTATGTTAGGGAGCATGGCTCTACTTTAGCAGGGGGAACAGGAAATGAGAATAAATTAAACCTCATGTGTTGCAAAAATAGGTCAGAGTGTCCCACTGTAAGAATGCAAAAAGCAGAACCTCATTCTCTGGCAGGAGGACAATTTCATCTTTCTTCCCAGAACTCTCACACCTTTTGTCAATCTTTCCAGGTGATTCATTGTACAATGCCTCGCCCAGCCACTTGCTGGCTCTTCCTTATTGCAGGCACAGGGAGGTTGCTCCATCCAGTCTCCAGAGGGCTACAGAAGAGGGTAGTAGGCAGAGGAGCAGAGCAGACTGAAGAAGACCAACCTGCAGCCAGAAGGTAACAGAACATTCGGTGGGGAGTAACAGGAAGAAGCCAAGGGGTAGGGGAGAACTGTACTGAAGTCACAACTGGAGCAGAGAAAGAAGTACTCAGGGAGGACAGTAAGAACATTTTAAGAACAGAGAATCCCCTGGCACAGCTGAGAAGGAGACCTTTTCACTATAGACCACCTGAGCTACCAAGAAGGTGCACCTTCTGCCATGAACCCGCCACCCTACTCCGAGAAACAGCCCTACGATCAACAACCACCTCCTGCTCATGGGCCAGCAAATTCCGCCATGCCAACTCAGTACCAGCCTTATTATGGCCCGTATGGTGCAGTGCCTGGCCAAGGGGTTATTATCCAACCTCCGCTGCACACCACCTATGTCGTCCCTGTACAACCCACCCACGAACCGGATTACCTGGGATATTCCATCTTCACTTTGCTGTTTTGTTGCTTCCCTCTGGGAATTGCAGCCCTGGTTTATTCCATACAGGTGAGTCTTTCCTTGATCAACTACAGGAGGTGGGGATGGCAGAAAAGTCACCATCTGACCAAAAAGAAGGGAAATTAAGGGCCCAATCTGGATGTTCTGGTTTGGCTTGCTGAGGTCTTTTTTGCTTTTGGTTTTCAGTATCTCATGGAGAATCTCATCGTACAGCAGTCTGGATTGAAATCTCAGCTTTTCTAACCCAGTTCTGCTTTGTGTCTGATTATTTGTTGTGGAAGAGACATTGGCCTCTGCTAAATGTCGGTTCTTCTGGGTTAGGAGTGATGAATTGAGGTTTTTGAGTTACAGAATCTCCTTTTGCAGAATTTTCGCCCCGTCACGTCCCTGTTTGTGTTTTGCCTTCAGCTGTGCCTTCAGGAACAAACGTCTGCAGCGGTCTCTTTTGGTCGGAATTTTAATTTTTGATCCTCGGCTTCCGGCTTTTATTTTTAAAAACTGTTTTGGCACCTAAAGTTGCTCAAGCAAGAAAATCTGCAGAATGATAAGCAGTCCGTTTGATAGAAGTCAGGGAAATGGAGCTTAGATAGGGTTGCCAGCTTCCTGGTGGGAAACAAGCCAGCAAAAGCCTTTGTACAAATGCACTAATATAGAAATAATTGCTCTAAATACTGATATATATTTCAAATTTCAGAATAGAAAAGCTGAAACAACAATGACAAATGCAGTAGGAGCACGAGGCATTTACTGTCTGTAAAATTGTAGAAGCAGCCAAAAAAAAGGGGGGGGGGGAAAGCCAGTGTACAATGCAAGAAGCAAAAAAGAAAACACCACTGGCAAAAAATGAACACACAAGCAAGTATATAATAATCAATTAAGCATACCAGTGAAGTATAATATATATCAAATAAGCATAACAGCAAATATAATATCACTCAATTGGCCAAAGTGCAATAATAAAGCGTAATAGAAACAGTGTCTACAGTAGTCTACATTCTACAGTCTACAGTCTTTCCATGTATCTACTCCAGCATAGAAGCAATATCAGAGTCCAAATTGGAGTGCAAGTCATCAAATTTTCTGAGCCATAAAAAGCCGACGCGTAATCCGGATGCCTGATGTCATGTTTTGAATAATTCTTATTCAAGCATGGCTGTAATGGGACCCAGTCTCAAAAGCTGGCATATACTAAGCTAGCTATTTGGACTCTGATATTGCTTCTATGCTGGAGTAGATGCATGGAAAGACTGTAGACTGTAGACTGTAGACACTGTTTCTATTATGCTTTATTATTGCACTTTGGCCAATTGAGTGATATTATATTTGCTGTTATGCTTATTTGATATATATTATACTTCACTGTTATGCTTAATTGATTATTATATACTTGCTTATTTGCTTTTGTGTTCATTTTTTGCCAGTGGTGTTTTCTTTTTTGCTTCTTGTAAAACTGTAGAAGCGGAGAAGATTGGGAGCACTTGCAAAGAGTTTATTTCCCTGTGATCTGCAGAAATACATGGTTGCAAGATGGTCCTTTGTGATCAAGCATATGCGAAATGTGGCCTTTTGTCAATGGCTAGCTTGCCCGTAAAGAAGACACAGTGGACCAAAGACCAACAACAGTCAATAGTATTTTTACATTTGTGGAGGACGGGGGGGGGGGCACTGAACGTTTCCTTGTGCTTTGAGATATTCCCCAGTAGTTTAGCTGTGCCTACAAGTTCTTTTTTGAGTATTGCTGTTTGCCTCCCTTATGCATATTGTCTGGTCTAGATGACCTTGAGGTTCATATAGGTGGATAAACGCAGTCACTCAGCAAAAGAAATTGTGGACACAAGAAGTTTTTTTTTAAAAAAAAGACTCCCGGATTTAATTGAATAAAATCACCTGAAGTTGAAGGGATGTATGCAAAGCAGGAAACATTCAGTAGCAACAACAAGCAATGGCAAAACAAACAGTAAAAGGCCAGGTCACTGGACCAATGAAAAGAATAACTCACTTTTGTAAGGCCATTTCTTAAGGTAAGTCCATCATCAGGTTGAAGAGAACTGCAGTCTGCGAGGCCTGAGTAACAGCAACAGCGACTCCCTTTCCTTATGTCTATTCCCCTGCCGTAAGGCAGCCAGCTGTTAAGAGTTCAACTCACTAATTAACCCTCCCACTTGTGAAATGATTACGGAGGTTTACAAGGACGATTCTCCACAATAACAAAACCTCGCAGCGGAGTGTAGTTGTGCTGCAAGCAGCTTGCTTCCAGTGACTTGCAAGGCTGGGTCCTAATAAACTTATAACCCTTTCCCGCCAGCAGAGCCAACAAAATATAAACCTAAACAGCCTCCGTTCCTTACACACATGACAACTACAACTGTATGTAGATGAAATTGTGACGGAAATGTTGCTTCAGGTTTCCTATTTTGAAATTCTGTAATACAGTATTTAGGCCCCGGTCACACGGAAGGTTTTGGGCCGGGAGAGAGACGGATCGGGGGTGCAGCAAACGGGCGTGATCTCACTGCAACATCTGGGAAGCGGTGCACACCCATCCCCGATCCGGCCCTAACCCCGGAAAACCCGCTGCAAAAAAGAACCTCCTACAGAGGAGGACTTACCTGCAGCACCGCAGCAAGTGCGGCCGTGGGATCGCTGCCGCGCCCGTTGTGCGTATCAATCCCAGCTCCCCGCTGAACTGCGTATGCACACAAATGCGCAGTTCGGCTGCCGCGCTCTTCTTTCTGTGGCTTCCCACTGGCATCTGATAGTGCCGGGGTGGAAGTGCGCGGCGGCTCAGGGGATCTATGTGATCCCACTGCTGCGTGTCTCTTTTGGTGCAGCTTTAAAAAGCCGCACTTTGCCCGTCCTTCCCCCCCCCCATGTGGCAGGGACCTTAGAGCACTTCTTTCTGTGTTAGTCCATTCGCACACAGGTTTTTGCTGGCTTGTTTTACATCCTGTGTCCTTCACCTGTTGTTAAGCTTCCAGGTGGGAGGTGGAGATCTCCTGGGATTACAACTGATCTCCAGGGGACAGAGATCAGTTCACCTGGAGAAAGTGGCCATATTGGAAGGTGGACTCTATAGCATTGAATCCCAATGAAGCCCTTCCCTTTCCCAAACCCTGCCCTCCTCGGGTTCCACCCCTGAAATCTCCACGTATTTCCCAACCTGGAGTTGGCAACCCTATGGGTCTAGCTCAAGCCTGCTGTTGCTTCAAGATCAATAGAGTTGTATTGGAGCCCACCTCTGGGAATGCCCCCCGAAGTCTCTCGCTGGGCATGAAGATGTACCTGGCAACTCTAGGTTTGTGTACATAGTTGTGGCTTGCTGCGTGTTACATTCTGTATGTTCCTGAATAAAAAGAGCTATGTTGAAATCACGATAGCCTCTTGAACCCACTACTTAACACCTGCCCTCCTCGGGCGCTACCCCCCCCCACCTGGAGCTGGCAACCCTTCAGTCAGTAAAAATGGTCTTTTCAGAAGATCCTTTGACAGGCAAGTATGTTTTTCTTTTCTTTGTTTTTACTTGGTTGTTGACTGAAGTTTCCTGGGGGATTTAGTAAAGGCAATGGCAATCTCTTGGCTGGAATCAGCTCTCAGTCTGGCCAGCAGCTTTGTGGTTGTGTGGGGAAGGAAGCACTGACCCATCTATACCCAGCTCCTGGTTTAAGAATAGTTTGGAATATGTCTGCTCCGTTCAAGTCCAGGAGCCCTTTATTGACCAAGATTTTCCCAGAGTCAAAGCTCCCTTCCTCAGATATGCCCCTGGGCTCAAATCCAGCTATTCGACTGCAGATCAACACGGCTTCCCTCTGAAATTCTCTTCTTGGAATATGTCTGTGCATGTAAACTTAATCTAGTGTGTTTTATTGCAGAATATTTTCTTGGACTGTATCCTTGACTCCACAGCAAACACACCTGTTTCCACATGCCAGAGATGTTGTTTGGTCACGTGTTTTCCCTTATTCATTCTTTCCTCTCTCCTTCCTCCTCAGACACGGGATGCCAACCGGATGGGGAACAGTGCCGAGGCTCAGCGGAACTCCAGGATGGCACGGAATTTAGCTCACTCTGCGTTCGGCCTGGGGATTGTGTTGGCTATTGTGTACATTGTTTTGGTTGTCGTGAGCTATACGTCTTTGTATAACTGAGGACACACGCAAGACTATCTGTCCACTTAATTACCTCCCTCTTTGTCTTCTATTTAATTCATTTTTTTAAAAAAAACTGTAAACATTTTTAAAGAAATCATTCCAATTCTGAGCCTACACTGATGCTAAATGAAGAGACTGCATGCAGTGAAGGAGGTGTCAGGAATGTACAATTTGTTAGCAATGTAATAAAGAGATTGCCGTTGCCTTTACAAAGCATCAATGTACAATTTATTAGCAATGTAAAATGTAGTATTCTTACGGGCCCAGGCTAGCCCTCACTCCTCAGATCTCAGCTGCTAAGCAGGGTCAGCCTTGGCTAGTATTTGGATGGGAGATCCCCAAGGTTCAGGGTTGCCAACCTCCGTGTGGGGCCTGGAGATCTCCCATTATTACAGTTGGTCTCCAGATGACAGAGATCAGTCCCCCTGGAGAAAACGGCTGCTTTGGAGGGTGGTTGTTGTTGTTCAGTCGCACAGTCGAGTCCGACTCTTCGCAACCCCATGGACCAGCTCCCGCCAGGCCCTCCTGTCTTCCGCCATCCTCTGAAGTTTGCTCAATTTCATGTTTGTTGCATCTGTGACACTGTCTAACCATCTCATCCTTTGCCATCCCCGTCTTCTTTGACCTTCAGTCTTTCCCAGCATCAGGGTCTTCTCCAGTGAGTGCCCCCTTCTCATTGGGTGGCCAAAGTATTTGAGCTTCAGTTTCATTATCTGGCCTTCCAGGGAACAGTCAGGGTTGATTTCTTTGAGGATTGACTGATTTGTTCTTCTTGCAGTCCAAGGGACTCTCAAGAGTCTTCTCCAGCACCATAGTTCAAAAGAATCTATTCTTCGGCGCTCGGCCTTCCTTATTGTCCAACTCTCGCAGCCATACATGACTACTATACCGCACTGAGGTCCCTCCTGCCCCAGGTTCCAACCCAAATCTCCAGGTATTTCCTTGCTCAGAGCTGGCAACCCTACCAAGGACTGCTACACGAAGGCAGGCAATGGCGAGTCCCCTCTGTTCAGCTCTGGCCTTGAAACCCCCGTGAAGGGTCGCCATAAGTTGGCTGTGACTTGATGGCACATTTCACCCCCCCCCCCACATCTTAGATTTTCACCCAAATGTTTTGTGGCCTTGTGGTGAACAATTTGAACATTGCAGTGTGGTTGATGAGCTTGTGACCACCGGTTGTTACGAAAGAGGAAACCCATTTTCTAGGGGAAAGGCTTGTAATCAAACCACTGGAAGATCTGAAATGTAAAAGGAACGGGATATTAAAATCACCAGAGACCAGAGGTCGATTCGGGGGGATCACGGGGGATCGCCATTCTCCTGGGCGAGGGGCGGGGGCGGGGCACACGACGAAGCCACGCCCCCTGCTTCCGGCCACCCCTGGTAACTGGAATGTGAATAGCCACATATTTTGTACTTCATCTATTACCAAACCTTTTTACCTGACTTGGGTGGTTTGCTTGTTTCCCCCCACATGTGTCATCAGATAGGCTCGCCAGCTCTGAGTTGGCAATACCTTGGAGATTTTGGGGGTGGAGCCTGAGTGGTGGGTTTAGATTCAGAGGAATTAGCTGTGTTAGTCTGTTGCTGCAAAATAGTCCGAGGGTTCAAATAGCACCTTTAAGATTAACAAATAGCACCTTTAAGACTAACCTTTAAGACTAAGACTGAGTGGTGGGTGTGGCCTTATGACACACTTCCGGTGATGTCAGGGGGTGTGGCCTTATGACACACTTCCGGTGATGTCAGGGGGTGTGGCATATGCTAATGTGTTATGCTAATGAGCTCCCCTAGCTCTTTTTCTACGAAACGACCCCTGCCAGAGACCAATCGGTTGAGCTACCATTTGAAAATCGCCTTTTGTACTTTGAATTAATAGTATCAATAACCTCATGCAGGCTAGGAAGATTGTTGTCTGATATAACTGAGAAGCTTCAACAGAAGCTATTGTCATTAAACGTCTTTGGAACGTCCCTTGAGATGAAATGCTGTCCTAATTATTTTAACAAAAGAAATGTGGGGTCATTGGGATATGTGGGGTGCAATAAGCCTGGGATCCACAAAGCTCAAGGATCATGGTGCCCTATAGAAGTCTGCCTGTCAGTTATGGTCACCTAACAAGGACCTTGGGGTGGGCATAGTATAGCCCAGTCTTGTCAGATCTCGGAAGCTAAGCGGGCTTGGTTCTTGGATGGGGGACCTCCAAGGAAGACTCTGCAGAGGGAGGCCATGGCAAACCACCTTTGGCTCCTCATTTGCCTTGAAAGGCCCTTGCTGGGGTCACTATGAATTGGTTACAAGTTGATGGTTTGTAAGGTCCCAGGTTCAATCCCTGGCATCTCCAGTGGAAAGCACACAGGAAGTGATGTAAAAGACCTGAGAATCTGGAGAGCCACTGCCAGTCTGGCCTCGATGGACCAAAGGTCTGATTCACTATGAGGCAGCTTCATGTGTGAGATATGGCTCATTCCTAGGCAACGCCTCCTCTGTAGGGAGTGGGGCACCCGGTGATGCAGCGGGCTCCTTGACGGCCATCCCCTGACTCCTCCTTTGTTGGTCTTTATGCTCCTGTTAAACAGAATGCTCTGCTTCAATGCAGTTTTGCCCTTATTGTCCGTCATTGGACTTTCTGGTTCATACTTTCATTGGATATTTTGAGAATACTCCAAACCGAAGAAGGGAGGACATGCATTTTTGAAATAAATATGTGCTGTAGAATCCTTAATGCTGGGAGGCTGCAGTGTATCTCCAGCAACTTGGGACCCCATCAGTGTTCCCTCTAAGCTGAGTTAGTGTGAGCCAGCTCACAGTTTTTTAGCCTCTGGCTCACACATTTCTGTCTTCGCTCAGGAAAGATGGCTCCAGAGCAAACTGATTTATGCAGCAGCCAAACTGCTCGCTCACACCTTTAATGGCAGTAGCTCACAAAGTAGAATTTTTGCTCACAAGACTCCACAGCTTAGAGGGAGCATTGGACCCCATCAGTAGAAGACAGGAGCCCACTGTTGAGGGTGGGTGGAAATATTTGGCCCCAGAAACATGTGGTCTTCTAGTTCAGCAGCTTTTTAAAATCCCTGTTCATTTATAGGGGAAAACAATAAAAAGGATAATTTGAGATAACTAGTAGGTGGGGGTCAAATCTCCTTGCCTCTGGTTGGGCCTTGTATCATAAGAACATAAGAACATAAGACACGCCAATGTTGGATCAGGCCAAAGGCCCATCCAGTCCAACACTCTGTGTCACACAGTGGCCAGAAATACCAGTGCCATCAGGAGGTCCACCAGTGGGGCCAGGACATTAGAAGCCCTCCCACTGTTGACCCCCCCCAAGCACCAAGAAGACAGAGCATCACTTGCCCCAGAGCCCCTAGCTATACCTTGTGGCTAATAGCCACTGATGGACCTCTGCTCCATATGCTTATCTAATTCCCTTTTGAAGCCGTCCATGCTTGTAGCACCCACCACTTCCTGTGGCAGTGAATTCCATGTGTTAATCACTCTTTGGGTGAAGAAGTACTTCCTTTTATCCGTTCTAACCCGACCACTCTGCAGTTTCATGGAGTGCCCACGAGTTCTTGTATTGTGAGAAAGGGAAAAAAGTACCTCTTTCTTTACCTGCTCTTTCCCATGCATAATCTTATAAACCTCGATCATGTCACCCCTCAGTCGTCTTTTCTCCAAGCTAAAGAGCCCTAAGCGCTTTAACCTATCCTCATAGGGAAAGTGTTCCAACCCTTTTATCATTCGAGTTGCCCTTTTCTGCACTTTTTCCAAAGCTATAATATCCTTTTTAAGGTGTGGTGCCCAGAACTGCACACAGTATTCCAAATGAGGTCTTACCATTGATTTATATAGGGGCATTATTATATTGGCTGATCTGTTTTCAATACCCTTCCTAATAATCCCCAGCATAGCATTGGCCTTCTTTATTGCAGTCACACACTGTCTCGACATTTTCAGTGAGTTATCTACTACAACTCCAAGATCTCTCTCTTGATCTGTCTCTGCCAGTTCAGACCCCATCAATGTGTATTTATATTTAGGATTTTTGGCTCCAATGTGCATCACCTTGCACTTGGCCACATTGAACCCCATTTGCCATGTTGACGCCCACTCGCCCATCCTTGACAGATCCCTTTGGAGTGCCTCACAATCCTCACTGGTTTTCACCACCTTGAACAACTTTGTATCATCCGCAAATTTAGCCACTTCACTGCTTACTCCCATCTCCAAATCATTAATGAACAAGTTAAAAAGCAGTGGACCAAGTACTGATCCCTGTGGTACCCCACTGCTTACCCCCCTCCACTGGGAGAACTGCCCATTTATACTCACTCTCTGTTTTCTATTAATTAGCCAGTTTTTGATCCATAAAAGGACTTGTCCTTTTATCCCATGATTTTTGAGCTTGCTTAGGAGCCTTTGATGAGGAACTTTATCAAAAGCTTTCTGGAAGTCAAGGTAAATAATATCTATTGGATCCCCCTTGTCCACATGTTTGTTCACCCCCTCAAAGAACACTAACAGGTTAGTGAGACAAGATCTTCCCTTACAGAAACCGTGCTGAGTCTGCCTCAATAGGTTTTGTTCATCTATGTGCCTACTAATTCTTTCCTTAATAATGGTTTCCACCAATTTACCCGGTATCGACGTCAGACTGACTGGCCTGTAATTTCCCGGATCTCCTCTGCCCTCACTCCTCTCTAAATGACCTAGTGCAAACCACTGAAAATGAGCTGGCCCATATTTGCATAGCCCCTCCTCTTCATATGCATATCCCCCCAGTTCTGAGCGGCTTTCTTGAATGCCAAAAACTTTGCAAAGTGTCTTATATATATATAAGACACTTATATATATATATTTTATATATATATATTTTCCAATTTTTCAAACAAAAAAATCACAAACAAAGCAATAGAGCCATTGAAGGGACATAGAAACCAGTTCGGAACCAAAATAACAAATACAAGGTAATTCAGGAACAGAGATTGATAACAGTGTGAAAGCGAAGTTCAAAAGTGCAACATTTTTAAAAAGCTCTTACCAAGTGAAGATTAGAACAGAATTCTGACTAGACATATTCAAACATTTAACAGTCACAGCTTTACAGGGTGACTATAGTTACTATTTTCCAGCAAAATTTCTAATTCAGAGACCGGTCTAATAGTTTTGTTGTGA